TATGAGACAAAAACGAGGAGACATGGGAAGCAAAAGAGGGATGAGACAGAAACGGTAAAGTGACGGACTTGTTGTGCCTGGGCACAGTACAGTTACGAAACTGTAACGCAGATTTGAGCAGCTGTACCACCCTGGATCTGAGAGGCTGCTCCATGATCTTGGCCATCCTGAACATCGCGTACAACTCTAGTACTGACACTTTGGCAGACCTGACAATTTTTGCAGCAGAGAAAGATGCCGAGGTCAGCGACGCCAAAGTCGTACAGAAGTGACCATGCTTGACTTTTGTCCATCAAACATCGAGTCGAAGTACTTGTTGTAGCAGCACGTCTTCGAACTTTTGCCCAAAGCCTGGAAAACAGTGACACATTCTTAAGAGAAGGACGTGGCCTGAGTCTCTTGAATCCCAATGCTGACTTTATAAAGAAGCGATCATTGAACGGTGAATTGAATCTGGGCTGCCATCGATCAATGAGTACATGCTCTTGCACCCAGGCTTGTTTGTAGTCATCATGAACGGAAAGACAAAGTGTAGAGAAGTCAAAATAACTGCCGAGTGAAGCCCAAATGCGAATAGCAGGTTCAACTTGAACATATTGCTCACGGAGAACTTGCTTGAGTTTGGACTGACGGTTGAATTCACGCTTCGAAATAGTGATTGAGGTGCTTCCCACATACATCCATCGGTCTCGTTGCTTGAACGACGAGCGGGTACTCCAAGACGCGGGAGCTTTCAAATAAACTGCAAAAGGGCGCTGAAAACGTGTGAATGTATACTCAGACGGTGTAACTCCAGCTTTCTGCAATTTTTCAAGCAGCCGTTGCTCTGGTGAAGTTCCCCTGGAGTAATAGAACAGTAGAATCAGATGACAAAAACCTTGCAACCAAATGGCCATCACTTTGTCCACATGCGGAATAAATTGAAGCACAAACGACATGAACTTGCCAATCTCAGTAATGCGAACATGAGCTGACCGAATCTCCTTTGCGGAGAATTCATTGGAAGCAAGGCTGTGTGCAATTCAGACAACTTGAAATGCTGCCGCTGCGATGCACGTAGAAAGACTCTTGATGCCCATCCTAGATGCAAACGTCGCCGAGATACCGAATTTGACTGCAAGTTCTTGCAGTTTGGCTTTCTCTTTGCCTCCATAGTTGGTCTGCACAAGCTTGGAGACAGAAACAATATGCTCTTGAAATTCTGGAAAGCGCTTGCCTAGGGGGCGTTTGAAACTCTGGATCCACTTGTCAACGTCACCCTCTCCTGATCCTTTCAACCGTGCTTTGTGATCATTCAAGGCTTCTGCAGGAACACTGTCGATCTTGTTCTTGAGGTCAGTCTCCCAAGTCTTCGGTGGCGTCCCGGATTGTGGACCAGAAGCACTGGATTGAGAAGCAACCGGGAGTTGTGCTTTCGAAGTGGGTTTCGTAGGGGTAACAGGAAGTCCTGCGGCTTGCAGCTGTTCACGACGGCGGTTAAGCTCTTCCGAGATTTGAAGGAACTTCTGAGATTGGTCAACGCCTGTGGGCACCGGCATGTTGTCAAACATGAACTGAACGATCTTGTCAACCAACGGCTGGAACAGAGTGGCGGAATCTGTGGTCTTGCTGGGCACCATTGTGGACGGATTGGCGGTCTGAAAAAGTTGCGTAGCAACTGCATCGATGTCAATCTTGCGATCTCGAAGGCTTTTGGTCACTTGCGACACAAACACCGCTTCCGCAACTGAGGCAACTGGCACAACACTGAAGAACTTGCCATGGCTTAATGCTCTCAGACGCCAATCTGAAACTCCATGGAACAGGAATTCCTGAACAGGAATGCAAAGTGGATCTTTCCCTGCGACTCCTTTCTTTCGTGACCACGGGGTGGCTTCAATGCACTTACGAAATGACAAGCCGTGGAGTGCAGTTGAGTCATAATGATCACGATCTGACGTCCATCCATTCGGTAACGCAGGTACAAGAACAGGACCTTGATGGAGTGGCATGGGAGTAGACGGCGAAGGTGACGGTCCCGAAGCAAGTGGAGGTGGAGGAAGGGGAGGCGGCTGACTAGCAGGAGCAGACTTGGGGAAGTTGGGATCATTCCAACTGCCCGAGCTGTACGGCTGAAAGCGATGTTGACCCCACGGTTGTTGGGATCTCCCGTATCCTGTGCTGGAGTTCCACTGTCCATTCCATGCCATGGTTTCTGAACTAGATACGAGGTTAAGTCCAAGGGAACGCTAAAGGCACTTCGAATCAAAGAGCTCCATAGAAGAACAAAAACATGCTCAACGAAGTCTCAAACTGCAGCACTTGCACCAATCTTGCACAACCCTTGCACATCACTTGCTCAACTCTTGCACATCTGTCGCACACCCTTGCACTGCTTCTGAGGCTTCACTTGCACAACACTTGCATATCCCTTGCTGGCACAACTCTCGATCCGAACTGGCAGGTTTTTATACATGTGCACACAGATCGCAGCTGGCAATGGAAGACGCTTCAGAACGTGGTTGGTCAAGGCAACTTACGGCACTCAGACCTTCCAAAAAACAAGAAGTGCTTCCGGGATGAAACATGAGGAGCGAAAGACCCACCTGCCATCTTTGGCACGGGCAACATCACGAATGTAACTGCAGGAATGGTCACCCTCAACTCCTCCCATGGGGATCCTTGAATGGGGGGGCGTGAGGGACCCTTGGCGATTAAAAGCAGACCCAAAGATGCACAACGGGCGCTCACTCAGAATGCCACCGTACTTGGACGCAGCCTCTTGTGCTTGTTCCGCATCTGAGCCCTAGCATAGAAGGAGATCGGTGGAGACCACATGCTGTCACGAGCATCCCAATACGAGGGTCGAATTGTTCCCTCAAGAAGGATAGACGCGGCCCCGGCCACCGTTGTGTTGTGTGCAACAGGCATACGAGCAATCCCTGCTGCCGAGGTCTGCGACTTGATCATAATCCTCTCAAAGTGGTTGAAGTGGATACTCAAACACTTGCACGAACTCGACAAGGAACGAAGCTCAACAGATCGAATGTTTGCAGCTTGATCGGCTGCAGCAATTGCTTGAGAGACAAACTTCAGTGCTGTCGAGTTGACATGCTGAGAAGGAAGTCCTAACAGGCTCATCAAATAGTCCGCATTGCTTTGCATCAAGGAGCTGGGAACTTGCAACTCAAGATTGGCCTGTATCTTTCTCGGAATCTCACATGCCGACCTCATACGGCCAGGGCTGGAACTGATCAAGTTGCGCAGGGTAGTAAACATGGGATATAATGCGACCCAATTGAAGTTGGCTGAGTACACTTGAATCAGCTTCCCTTCTTCATCACGCACTTCCAACCCACGAAGTTCAGGAATCACGAAGAAGTTTGAATCTTGTTCCCACTCTACTTCCACATGTCCTCTGAGAAGAGCTCGATTCCCAAGATTGTCATACGATTCTTGCAGGTGTTTAACACGAAAGACGTAAGTCTGGTCCGCACTGAGCTGCCACCCTACACGATCAGCATAAGTACCAGGAATGTTATCGCAAATCGCACGAAGCCGGATGCTGTTAGGATCTGCAACAAGAGAAACTCCGCTTCCATGAACTTGCCGAAGTCGTTTTGAGGGCTGGGAAGAATCATCCGTCAGGACTGTGATGCCTGACTGCTGGCTCTGACCAGAAATTGCTGCTTGACTTTGTTGCGAAACAACAGTCTGCTGTATGTCGAGCAAATTGTTGAGACCGGCATACACATCTCTGTGACCTCGGACATGAGTCAAATTTGCCGACATAATTGCTGAGTATTCAGCAAAATCGGCCACTGAACGAAACGACAGACGGAAACCTGTGCCATCTGCATGAAGAGTGATGGCTGGTGGAACATCTGGCTGTGGAACAGGTCGATCGTTTTGACGAGGCAAAGAAGGGCCAGGCTGATCACTTACAGCACATGCGGTTGCAGAGGCAGGAGCTACATCTGCTGTTCCCAAACCAACATTGCATACAGAAGAGATCGGCAAAGATGACGAAGATGGTATCGAGGAAACTGCAGGAGTGGGGGGCGGGGGAGGGAAAGCGGGAGGGGGAAGGGGAGGGGGGGGTGGAATCCACTTCGCTGTGGTGCCTCGAGAGGGGGTCCGGGCAGCAGTGGGGAGAGGAGGGGGTGGCAAAGGAGGGAGGGGAGAGGAGGAGGGTGGAGGAAGAGGCGGGGGAGGAAGAGGGGGAAGAGATGTCCCAGTACTGCGCCCTTTGTCTGAAGTATCCATGGCAGATTGATCAGCAACTACCAAAAGTACAGCTCATGTACTCAACTTGCAGCCGAAGACCTGCGACAAGTCACCGGTATACTCAGCTCGGGGGATTCAAACAGATCATAACAAAGTCGATGAAAGAATCAGCATTCAGTTTCGGAAAACGCATTTTGGAAAAACTCACTGAAAGACTCAGCATGCAAGCATGGATATGAAGTCAAAGAAAATCATCCAATGCTTATTCAATCAGTCGGGAAAGTCAACACCAGAGCTACCTCTGGGAGACACGGCGCCCATAGGGAATGCCGTTGTGAAGCACACTTGACACAACGCGTCGCAGGTCTGATCAATCAGTGCATATTGCCGAAAGCTGTCAGGAGAAGTCAGAACATGTGATCTGAAGTACTGCCATAGGACGAACGCAAATTACTCATGTAAGACTGACATGTGCAGACCCTCACTCATGACTGTCGCATTCACAGACAAACTCTTGAACAGAAACTGAGCAAGAAACTGACCAATGCAAGCCCTCACTCATGACTGTCGCATTCACAGATAAGCTCTCAAGCTGCCACATGCGTGACCCATGAGCAGCTTTGTGCAGGTACAGGTTCACACGTCTGTGAGCCCATCCAGTCAACATCCATAGCTTCGTTGGCGTGGCTAGGATGTGACTGCCACGCCCCCTGCTGCCTAACTCACTCACGTCTCTTGGAAGCAGAGTTGGACACACACACACACACACACAGCAACTCACAACTTCAAATGGCCTGTGCCCAGGGAGGAGGGTCGGCGTTGTCGGCTCGCGACCGAGACGCCTGTGACGCATCTGCCTGGCTTTGGTGTACTTGCCCTCGGGCAACTTCTGTCTAGCTTGAACTGTGTACGAAGAAGAGACGGGCGTCCGTTAGAATTGTGGAAAGATCTTTCGGACGCTTACGGGTGACTGCGGAATCCCTACGAGGCGCGGCGCGGCATTTGGGAACCGAAAAAAATTGCAGCTTGGGGCACTCGGCGGAAAACAGGGCCAGGCACCCAAGGGGGAAGCTCGCCGTGATCGCCGCGATCTGCAGGAACAGCCTTGCCAGTCGACATGTGGCAGTCTGTCGGATCTGCTGGAACAGCCTCTCCATGTTGCAGTCTGTCGGGCAGATTTCGCAACGCTAACGGTCATCATTGCCAACTAACTAACACGGCACTCATGAGGTTCGTATGTGCTCACAACATGCTAACGTGTCCTATCGGACTTATTGCCGTATTGAAACCTGCTGCAAAATGTATGATTGCCTGCCAGTTTTGCACGGCTGAAGGTATCTGCCCTCGCACGAGGGTTCACAGGGAAGTTCTGTTCCTACGCAGCGGCTACACCCATATCATATGCAAGACATCGGTCAGCACAGAAATCTGAAGCACCTAGTTACACCCTGGTGCTTGGGCAGACACCTCGAGGGCCTCAACTATCGACCCCGAATACTCAGAACTTGATCCGACGAGGGTCGCGGTCGTCCGCTGGCGGAGATGCTCGCTGCTGTGAGGCCTGATCAAAGAAGAACAACTGTCCAGTAACTTTGAGCGGCTGTCGTCAGCACGACGAGGCCTTTGAAATGGACGATACAGCACCACCGAACATGCGTCAACAGAATCTACCACGGAAAGTCAAGTCTGCAAATGAGCACGACAGGACCTACTGATACGACATGCTGGATCGCAATAACAGATCATGACATTGTGTGGCACAGGACACGAATAAACCACATTTTCGATGCAATGGAACGGCAGCATCTTCTGTTGAAACTTCTAAGCCTAAACCCCAATCCGAAATAAACATGCCTGGACCGTACAGCCCAAACTCTACTCCGAGACAGCATCCCAGCCTTTGGAGCTACTTGAGTCCTGGGCGGCGCAGCTGGCTTTGCTCCGGGTCGCGGCAACTGCCCGACGCAGGATCAGCACATTGGCAGGTATACCATCACGCATTTTTGTTCCGTTGTTGAAGGCTGAGGGAGCAAACAGCCTGCAAATGGAGTTCATGGCTTGGATGTCCCCTTGAAAAAGGGAGAGCTGGGAAAAGAGACGAGCGGGGCTTCGTCCTGCACACAGCCCCGCGACACAAGCAGGCGGGCCTGCCGCCGGATGCTGGAAGCCTTCGTATTGGTCGCTGCTTGCGGATGTAAACCAGAAAACCTTCTATTAGCTTATTAGCAGAGCTTGGCTTGGCCGTTTTGTGCCGGTGCCCAAGATCCAACAACAAATGCCCTAGACGGTACGTGTGATAGCAATGCTGGTAACAACAGCAAGAGAGCAGGCAGCATAGGCATAGGAGTACGAAAAACACAGACCAATACTTAGGGCAGCAGCACATGCAACCATGGAAACACAGCTAATGCCACACAGACCACCAACAACAACGACGATGGTATAGCGACACCACTAGTACTAGCATCACTAGCCGTGTCGGAGATGATCCAGAGAGTGACTGTTGCCGTGGGTGCACTACGGCTGCTCCTCCTTTCTGAGAGCGGGATACCGTAGTCTCCGCATAAATGTCGGCATGACAGAGAAGTGCAGAAAGCATGGAATGTCACACATGTGCAGCTTCTTCGGCCTTTTTCGGTTCATCTGCTACAGCACTGGGCACTGAACCGTAGCCGTAGAATGATGAACCAAGGCTTTTGTGCTCATGGCTACCTTCAGGCTGACCTCAAACCGACGGGGGGCCATCGAGTCCAGATCAGTCAAGCTGCCAGCTCATTCATCTCTGCAGAAACGGAAGCGGGCCCACAGCCTCGAGCGTCCGAGAGGCAGTTGGGGTCCAAGGCTGGCAACGTCTGTAAGCATGGTCTGAATACAAGGACGATCTGCCGGCTGGCCTGTTTCCTTCAGCAGTTTGGTGACTGCCAAGGCGGTGTAGGCTGCCCTCTCCTCGAGGATGCGGCCAGATTTGACATTGAGGGCTAAGGACTGAGCTTTTGCAAGCCGCCTGCTGGCTCTGGTCTTGCTGTTCTTTTCCTTCGGTTTCCTCCTTTCCTCCTTTTCCTTCCTTGGGCGTCTTCCTCCTGGTGGGCGCCTAGGGGGTGCAGAGTACGAGTTCCACGGGTACCTGCACTACAACGTCATATATATATATATATATATATATATATGCGCTCGGGCGTGACTGGCCTGTTCTGAACTCTTCTCTCGTCATGTTGTAACTGTAATACACTGTATATCCGTAAACAAACCTTAAACGGTGGCTTAACCTTGAACACAGCTGCCCCTTCTCGTAAGTCTAGATGGCATAAAGTCTTACACCCTTGATCTCTGCTTCGCACGAATCCTCATCCAGAAAAGCTGAATACAGGGCTTTCAGGTTCAGGGCTATAAGGCTTCATATACTTCAGGGCTATTGGATTCATGGCTTCAGGTTTCTTTGTTTTTTTGTGGGCCCTTTTCCTCCCTGCTACAGTCGGAATACCTAGTAGGTGGAGCCGTTCAGGTTTCAGGTTGTAGAATTTAGAGATACTATCTCATGGCGCTGCACACTGTGCTGTCTACTTGGTCTTGCTCCCGATTCGGAAGGCTTGTGGCCACCATGATTCATGTGGCGCAGAAGACTTGACGGCTTCAAGCGAGGACACGAGAAAGCTTTGTCCACTTCAACCCAGGTTCCGATCTGCTGAGATCGACACGTGGAGATACCCTCATCGAAAAGAGTTGAACCAACCCCAGATCACGAACCAGACTCCAAATCCGAAGCCAAAAATCCCATGCTTTGGAAGGTCCCGCTTGGTTTTGTTGCTGCCCACCCCAACGGCCCGGCTGCCGTCAATGGCGCCAACCTCGGGATTTCTGTTTGGAGACTTGGGCTTCATTGGCCTCGGACTGACAATTACTGCGAAGGCAAGTCAAGCCTTTGCATGCTCTGAATATGAGCTTAAAAGCTTCGATGGCAGTCTCCACGCCGAGTCCCGCAGAGTAAACTTTCTGGACTCTCAAGCCTGTTCCACGTGCGTGTATGGTGAAGTGAACATCATGAGCGCGCTGCAGATACCGAATAGCAGAAGAATGAGGGATCAGGATGCGGCCAAACTGAGCCCTCTCATGCCAAGCTTCGGATCTGTAGGGTGAGCAAGGAATTGGGTTTGAAGCTCAAGATCGAGAGCTCGGGGTCAGGACTCAAGCCTCGTGCCGACGACCTTTCTCTGCGCATCTACAACATCCACCTTGGCATGGAATCCACTTGGGAGATCGACAACACGCACACAAGCTCTGGTTGCTAGATCGGGTTTAGTGAGTCTAGTGCAGTATGATGCTTGGAACGACAAGCAACCACGAAGTAGAAAAAATTCCACGATTGGCCGTCCAGCTCGTCCAGGTGTTTCATCTGCCTCGCGATTTCCTCCGCGAAAGCAATCGAAAAATGGTGGATCGTTTCTCATGCAAGGGACCCTCATTGTGGTACACCCCTCATGTTATCTCAGCATGTGTCGTCCTCAGCGCTTGATGGCTAGTTTCAGTAGATCTCCAGATGGGGCCACACATTGCAGTGACACACATGGTCATTCAAAGATCCGTTTCAACTTCTTTGGTGGCTTGCGTTTCAGATCTGTCCGGTTTTAGCCCACCGCCGGTGTCTTCTCCTGCCCAACCAGCTGATTTGCGCCACAATAAGGTCTCTTTGTTTCCATTGCAACTTCTGCAACTGGGTTCTGGCCACTCGTTTCAGTTACAATCGTCTGAGGGTTCAAAGCTTGTGGTTCGAGACTGGGACCGAATGTTCCGCGGTTGCTGCTACGGCTGCCACCCCCGTAGTCTTTGCCGCAGCTGCCCAATGGTTTGCAATACGGTTCAGAACCGGCTTCTCTAGCGTCCTCATCAGTTTCAAGTTTTTTTTATTTTGCAGAGGAAGGGGGAAACAATTCAACGATACCATTGAATGGTGGGTGCAGCACTCACGTTGCCTTGACGAAGCCACTCCCGCACTACAGCAATGGTCGAAAAGACTTTGCCGTCTTGATGGTATGTATCGTCAAGCGGAAGCCGTGGCAGGCCGGGTTTCTGCAATGCATGGATCTGCTGAGCCTCTGTCGTTCGCATGTTCATATAAAGTTTTTGCAAAGAGATGCTCAAGAGGCTCTTGAAATGAGACCCTGCTTGCCGTGATGTGCACATCTATGTGTTGCAGCTGCATGTCGGACTAGGGACTAGTTGCGGAACGCACAGCCGGTAACGTACGCGTGGAACAAGACAAGAAACTCTATATGTGTATATACACATACATATGTATAACTTGTTCCATCTTGAGCCTCAACAAACCCAATCCCGAGCAACTCAGCCAAATCTGGTTTGTGCTTTGGCGAAACCGTTAGCCTTAGCAGACCAAACAGACCTTCAGGCCTTTGTCCGACATGCCTCCAGCCACTTCGGGGCTCTAGGGATTGGAGCTTCGAAGGGCTTACACCGAGCTTATGACGGTAGTCACGATAACGAAACTGGCGTTTCCAAAGATTCCTCTTCTGGCTGCTCACCTGAATTTGGGGCTTCGCTGCTCGCCCGGACGGTCCTGCACCGCTGGGCTGGCATGCGCGATACCTCCGCAAAAAAGCACTGACATTGCGGGCTTACAGGTTGGAGCCATCTAAGATCGGGGGAGCTGAGATGAAGCTGTCCGCCACATCAAGCATGATAATGATATCCTGTCCAATCGTTTTGCAGGACTGTTAGGTTTCGATGCCTGTTGGGGGACTGTGCTGTTGTCAGCTCTTCCGAAGTTCCTGATTTACTGGTGGCTACATTTGTGTTTACCGACGGGCCATGCCTACCTTGGTGGACCACATGTCCAATCTATCTGAGGCTGCTAGCATAATCATCATTGAAACCTACGGCTGCTACCATCAGGCGTAGAAGGTTTCGGAAACTTAGCATCTGTCCGACTATGACAGAGGCTGCTGCTGCTGCTGCTGCTGCTGCTGCCGCTGCTGCTGCTGCTGGTGCTGCTGCTGATTCTGATGCTGATGCTGATGCTGGTATTCCTGCTGCTGCGGGTGGTCGTGATGATGATGATGATGACGATGACGATGACGAGTTTGGTGAGGATGATGCTTAACATGAGGAGGAGGAGTAGGAGGAGGAGGAGGAGGAGGAGGCATATGACAATGGTGGCGGTGGCGGCCGCGGTGGCAGTGGCAGTGGCGGTGGCGGTCGCGGTGGCAGTGGCAGTGGCGGTGGCAGTGGCAGTGGCAGTTTCGGTGGCGGTCGGTGGCGGTGACGGTGGCGGTGGGGGTGGGGTGGTGGTGGTGGTGGTGGTGGTGGTGGTGGTGGTGGTGGTGGTGGTGGTGGTGGTGGTGGTGGTGGTGGTGGTGGTGGTGGTGGTGGTGGTGGTGGTGGTGGTGGTGGTGGTGGTGGTGGTGGTGGTGGTGGTGGTGGTGGTGGTGGTGGTGGTGGTGGTGGTGGTGGTGGTGGTGGTGGTGGTGGTGGTGGTGGTGGTGGTGGTGGTGGTGGTGGGGCTGGTGGTGGTGGCGGCGGTGGTGGGGGCGGTGGCGGTGGGGGCGGTGGCGGCGTGGTCGCGGTCGTGCTCGTGCTGCTGCTGCTGCTGCTGCTGCTGCTGCTGCTGCTACTGCTGCTGATGGTGGTGGCGAAACACAGTGATGAACCTGAAGCCCCTAAGCCCCCAAAAAAAAGGCCGTTTCCTGCCCTTGTGGAATCGTAAACTCTTGCTCTTGTAGTTGTCTGTTGGCAAGAGACAGATCTGGCAGCTCTCCGGAATGAACCCACCAGACCGACTCCGCAAGCAGGTTTGAAAACCATAGCGCCTTCCAATTATGTCAGTGGACCAAACTTCTCAACTCCGGATCCTGCTGTCGAAACTGAACTCGCAAACTCTGAGCATCCCGCAGTCGTACGAGTCGTCAAATTCCTGCAAGTCGGACAGAAAGTGCGCCGGGAACCCGACAAGAGATTGCTTCGGCGTTGGTTTTGGCGGCTCCTCGATTTGTCTTGTTTACTCCAAGATCAGCCGCCGTTCCTCTAGAGTTTGCTGTTGCCTGCTGCTGCGAGTTGTGCCTTCCTTGTTCTCTTAGGATCCCTCTGTTGCTGGCTGTTCATGTCTTGCGAGTTTCCATTATTGTGGGTATTGCTATCATGCTCGCTCATTTTACATAGGTCACAGGTCGTCATCTATGAGTCTCATTATTCGTGTTGATAGTGCAAGGCAGGTGCTTCAAGCACGTAACGCTGACGGATAGTAGGCTGTATTTATTACATGTGCTGACACTGGCTGTTGGATTCTCGACCTGGCTTCCACGATGCAGCACTATTAGTACTAGCAGCACCTGTAGTACTAGTAGTACTAGTAGTACCAGTAGTCCTAGTAGTACTAGTAGCACTCGTAGTACTAGCACTGGGGGCACTACGAGTACTACGAGTACTAGTAGCACGAGTAATTTAATTAGTACTACTGAAACTCGTAGTAGTATAGTAGTAGCGGTGGTACTGGCATTCTTGTAGTACTAGTAAGTACTAGTAGTACTGTAGATCTAGAAGTACTGGTAGTATTAAGTAGTGCTGGTAGTAGAAGTAGTGCTGGTGGTGCTGTAGTGCTATAAGTACTAGATAGTACTAGTAGCACCGGTAGTCTTACTAGTGTTAGTCGTACTTGTCGCACTAGCAGTACTGGTAACTAGTAGAACTAGTAGTACCAGTAGCACTGGTACCAGTAGCACTCGTGTACTACTAGCCTTAGCATGACACCCAGATCACGTTCAGCCTTGCGGATGTCGTCGTACTTGGAGATGGGGAACCTCGACGCGGGGCGAAGCGCATCGGAAGCTCTGCATTTTCTCAGGTGCTTTCCTGAAGTTTACAACGCCTCCTTGATTTCGGCTGCATGCTAACCCTGCATGAATATACACTCGAAGCCCTGCGATTGGGAATTTTGTTGTCGGTCATGCTGGCGATGGGCTGCGGGTGCCAAGCGCAGGCCTTTGGGGTCTGTCTGCTGCCAAGTGGCAACGCGCGGGCATCTTGCGCAGCCTGGAAGCTCTGCCAGACTACACGGGAGGTTCTTTGTTGGGGTATCCTATTTTCAGAATCAGGAGCCCTAATCTATTTAGAGACCCACGTGACTGATCACTTCCTGCTGCAGGGAATCAACTTCGGGTTCATCTAAACCCAAGGCAGCATCCCTCAGCCCTCAGCCCTATGCTGCTGCGGTTGCATAGCCCTGTCAGCTCCTGGCCTGTTGGAAAACGGGCTCCTTATCGTTCAAGCAGAGCACGCTGATGAGGGTCGGCTCCGAAGGGCTGCCTTTGTGAATCCCCGCAACTACACCACAAAATCCACAAAACAAGGGTGAATCCCTCGCATCTGGTAGCCTGGCTGTCATCATCAATTTTTCCGCCTGCGTGGTACCCCTCAAAAAAATCCCGATGACAGCCACCAATCCAACCCATCGCCCCAACGCCGACTCAGGTACAAACATAACACCCACAATCCTAAAGCTGCCAGCTTGCTGCCACGACGATGTCCAAGATCATCGTCGCCATCATTCAAGCCCGCATGAAGAAGAACAACAAAAACCAAACCAAAACCACAACGAGAACACTAACCACAAGCAACAAACAACTGCCACGGCAACGGCAATAAACACCAACTATAGTTCAAAAACTACAACTAGAAGCAAAACAACTACGAGTACAACTACCAATGCTGCAGCTGCTGCTGCTGCTGCTGCTTCGTTTCCTCCTCCTCCTCCTCCTTCCCCTACTACTGCTGCTGCTACTACTACTAGTGCTACTACTTCTACTACTACGGTGGATGGAGGAAATCTTGCACCACCTACACATCTTGTTTCGAATACACATCCAGGCAACAACCCCGCGCCCCCTTCTTAACATTAACGACAGACCTCTTGGGGCGGTGCAAGATTTATGTCATTGGAACGATTTTGTAAATCCCCGTGTTCATAGCAATGTTAAGAAGGGGGCGCGGGGTGAAGCTAACTAACATATCTTAAAAGTGGTGCAAGATTTCCTCCATCCACAGTCCCCAGAGCGGGGTCTAGCTTTGGCCTGCTCGTGGCTTTCCTACATGGCTTGCAGATACTTCCAGTCAGGGCAACGTTGCATAGAAGTCACAGTCAACGTTCAGTTAACGTTCAGTCAACGTTACAGTCAACGTTCCAGTTAACGTTGCGAAAATGCTGGCAGGGGCAGCATTTTGGAGTTTTCAAGCATAAAAAGCAAGAAATACATGTATTTCTTGCTTTTTATGCTTGAAAACTCCAAAATGCTGCCCCTGCCAGCATTTTCGCAACGTTAACTGGAACGTTGACTGTAACGTTGACTGAACGTTAACTGAACGTTGACTGTACGTTAACTGCAAATTCCTACCAAATGTAGCAAAGTTGCGGAATTCTTGCGATTTTAGAATGACCTGGCTGCTGCGCAAGATGCACTGTCAGGGCTGCATGGCTCCATTAGCGAAGACAGCGACATGGACGCTGCTATACGGCGATTCAGATTTTGCTGCAATGGCATTTCATAGCAAGCCACACAAGTACGTCACACACCATGTCACCACCCTCTACAAACGTCATATCACGAGCCTCTAGAAACGTCATTACTCGAGTAGTACCACTACCACTAGTAGCACTACTACTACTACTGCTGCTGCCATTACTGCTAATACTGCTACTACTACTACGACTACTACCACTGCTGTACTGCTACTACTGCTACTACTACGACTACTACTACTGCTACTACTACTACTACTACTCCTCCTGCTGCTGCTGTTGCTGCTGCTGCTACCGCTACGGCTACGGCTACTCCTACTGCTACTGCTACTAGTTACGACTGCTGCTGCTGCTGCTGCTACTACGACGACTACTACCACTACTCCCACTGCTAATGGCGCTACCTTGGGATCCCACCCGGCCTACTAACAGTGACCACAAACAGAAGCACAAAAAACAGCACCAGCAAAACCGCAAAAAAAAAAAAAAAAAACAGTAGTGATCACAACCTCCAATTCGGGAATAGAATCAATGAAACATTGGTCGCATGCCATCAACTTCGCGCGGAACCCCGAACCCCAACCCCCAAGCCTTAAACCCTCAGGAAAACCCTAGGCTTTTAGCCCCAAGCCCGAAACCCACCCTAAGCCCTAAACCATCGGCCAGATCTCTGTCATAGCATTGCTCGCATTGGACTGGATATGGTACAGAACACAGAATGCATCGCTCTTGGGCGGCTTCAGTCAGGCAGGCCTTGGCTGTAACGACGAGCAACCTGATACTTCAGATCTTTGTTGAGGGGCGTTGCTGAGGGGCTTTGTTGGAGTTGCCTGCCTGCCGGAGCTCCCCGGCCAGGACCCTGGCCAGTTTGGCCAGTTTCAATTACTCACACTGCCTCAATCAAACTGTTGGAATTCTTGGCCAATTTCGATGGTGCTCTTTCTTGTGCTTTTCATTACAGTTTTATGTCAAACCTTGTGCCTTTTCTGGTGCTCGAGATTGTGCTCATGATTGTGCTTGTTCTGGTGCTCGAGATTGTGCTCATGATTGTGATTTTTCTGGTGCTCCAGATTGTGCTCACGATTGTGCTTTTCTGGTGCTCAAAATTGTGCTCATGATTGTGCTTTTTCTGGTGCTCGAGATTGTGCTCATGATTGTGCTTTTTCTGGTGTTCCAGATTGTGCTCATGATTGTGCTTTTTCTGGTGCTCAAGATTGTGCTCATGATTGTGCTTTTTTGAAGTAATTACAATTTAAACGCCAATGATTCGCCTCATGAACTCATACTTGCAGTCATGATGTTCGTCCATTGGGTATCAATCCTTGTGCTTTTTCTGGTGCTCCAGATTGTGCTCATGATTGTGCTTTTTCGGGTGCTCCAGATTGTGCTCATGATTGTGCTTTTTCGGGTGCTCCAGATTGTGTTCATGATTGTGCTTTTTCTGGTGCTCGAGATTGTGCTCATGATTGTGCTTTTTCTGGTGCTCGAGATTGTGCTCATGATTGTGCTTTTTCTGGTGCTCGAGATTGTGCTCACGATTGTGTTATTTCTGGTGCTCCAGATTGTGCTCATGATTGTGCTTTTTCTGGTGCTCGAAATTGTGCTCATGATTGTCCTTCCGGACTGCTTCGACGTGCAGCCCGCGCTTGCCAAGCTGCGGCCTGTGCTTCTTCTGGACAGACCCGGCAGCCGCGCGCCCCACCCCAAACTACCGAGAGCGAAACAGCCCGAGTTTGCGATTCCTGCGGGCCTCGCCTCGGCTTCTTCCGTACAGACCCGGAAACCCCAGGCCTAAACTCCGAACCCTCAACCTTCAGCCCCGCATCCGGACTCTGACAGGTCTCCGAGCCCGAAACCTTGAGCCCCAGGTCCGGAGACTGAGACAAGCTTGCCCTAAACTCCAACCCCTGGTCCGAAACACAAAAACCCTGAGACCCATATTCCAGAAGCCAAATCAGCCCTGACCAAGCCCAAGCCCCAAGCGACGCCAGTACCACGGTGAATATTTCTGAAAGCGCGATCAGGTTGCTAAGATTTCATCCAATGGGGCCTTCAAACCCTGGTGCTCATTTCTGCCTGTGTGTTATATAAGGAACCTTTATTTGACTGTTAGTGGGGAGGGTGGGATCCTAAGCGCTACCACTACCACGACCACTACCGGCCCGCTGCACTACCGCTACCGCTACCGCTGTCACCGCCGCTGCCACGACCACTACCATCACCACAACCACTACTATCACTACTGCACTGCCACAACCACAATAATTACCACCACGACCGCCACGACGACGACCACAACAACAACAACAACACCAGCAGCAGCAGCAACAACAACAAACAAAACCACGACCACAACCACGACGACTACGACGACGCCGGCGACAACGACCCCGACAACGACAACAACCACAACCACGAATGGCATTGGTGATGCTGACGGTAACTGCGATGGATGACGACTATTGTGATGGTGGTGTCGATGGTGATGATGTTGATGGAGACAACAAGGATGATGATGATGATGCATTTGTGTTCTGTAGCCATGAGTGAATCCTGACGTTCAGAAAGGCTGGGAACGACTACCATGCCTGCTGATGCCCGAGCTTGCTCATTTTATCCACTTGCGGATGACACAACATCCACATCTAAAATCCAACACCCGCAACTACATGTATGAATCCCAGGTCCTAGCCCTTCGGCCCCGATTCCTGTGACCCCTCACCTCAGCCCATGAATCTGCCGAACCCTGGGCCAGGCTGCTCAGCAAATGGACTTGCACGTTAGGCAGGCTCACAGTAAGCTGGGCCATGGCGCTCTAAGTGAAGGCACGGACCTCGGAGCTAGCCTAGGTCAATATATCATAATATATCGTACTAGAGACTACTACGAACTTTCCTTGAAAATCGTCACCTCTCATAAACTCCAGGCCATTGGTGAACCGTCATTGGTCGAATGCAAGTCGTGGCGTTCTCGCGGTCTTTCCGGACGCACTGTCAGGCTCGCTGCTAGTCATGTTTCCCGGCTGCAGCAGGATGCTTGATATCTTGACAGCAGTGGTGAAAATTGCAAACACCCACGACACCGTCTGAGAAACATGAAGATAAAGACAGAGCTAGGAGAAGCGGAGGATTCAAGGAATTTGAATGATACTCTCGACTGCATGGCACGAGACATGAACATCGTCGGCAGCACGAGATCGGAAACTGCAAAGGCATGTCTGGATATTTAGACTTGAGTTTGCCGGGTCTGTAATATTATAGACCCCTAGAGTAGAAACCCCGAGCCTAAGCCAATGTTGCGGTTGAATCCTTGATCTTCCGCATGAAGAGGCCGGCTTCGTAGCCGAGCTCCTGGTTGAGGGGATGTACGAGACCCCTCTAAGGCTTCGGGTCAAATTTGGGGGTGAAAGTTGCAAAGCTTAGAGGAATCGGAGCTCCAGCGCAAGGTTCAGAATTTGCCAAACCAGGCAGAAGCCACTTCTGCAAACCCACGTCCCAGCAAAGGCCTGGCTGGTTGGCAACTTCGACTGAAGAGCCTCGACCAACTCCTTGGCAATTTGTCGTTGGAAGTTGATGGTGAGATCTGAGACTTCCTACTACCAGGAGCACAGCTGTGGCTGCAGGTGCCGTTCTTTGCCCTATATACTATTGCGCTACCCAAGATCACGGAAGATTCTAAGGTTCCGTCGTCACTCCTTTGCATGACACTTGCGGAGCTGTCGTTTGCAGAATGTTCCAGGTATTCTTGATTGTGACACATGACCGGGGAGTTGCGCCACATGTCAGCAACCTACGTAATTGCCAACAGATCCTGGAGAGTTCGTGTTGCAGTTGCCATGATCGAAACCCATTAGATTTCGCAGGTAGTTGGCCGGGAGGGCAGTGGTTGTGCTGTCGTAGTTCTCGTCGTCGCTGCAGCTTGCAGCTACGAAAGCAGCCAGCACCGGCAGACCGGCAGTGGTAGCAGTCGTCGTCGGAGGAGGAGACGGAGAAGCTTCTGCAGATCTTTTCGTCGCCATCGTCATCAATGGGTGGCTTCAGGGAGAGCCCCGAAGGTAGTTCGATGGAACTTCAGAAAACCAGCGATCCCTGGCCGCTTCGGGAGTCTTGCCAAATCACCCTTCGCGCCCGAAAGAAAGCCATGATAGCCGTAGCTCCCTTCAGCCCAACTGCACAAACCGCCTACAACTGTGCTTGAAAACAGCGGGCCTCACAGGCTAAACCCTAAACCCACAGCCCTGGGGCAACGGCTTTGGCCGTGTTGACCTTGGAGGTCTGCGCGAGCAGCCTGCACCAGACTCAGCGCACATGGTCTCACAGAGACACCGAACTCCTCCCAGACAGACTCCAGGTCAGACTTTAGGATTTAAGGACATAGGGTTTCACGTGTCCGTGGTTCCCTGTCACTACCCGAAGTCCTGAAACCAAAAAACCCGCTCAGGACGAAGCCGTGAAAGCTAAAGTCGCAGACAACCTGGACAGACCCTCGGAAGAACAACGCCCTTGCAACAACGGCCCGGCATGAAGGCCCCATTACCGATAATTGAACAGATTTCAGGGCTGGCTTCGCGCAACGGTTCCTCCAGGTTTCATGTTACCAGCGTGCATAAGAAGGGTTTGTTCGGGAGTGTTTCAGAACTGGCGTTCTGCTCTGAAGTGTCGGGCAATGGCCGGTGTTCACTGTGGATTTCTCCCGCCTCTCGCCCGTCTCCTCCTGGTCGTCGTCCCTGCGCGGCCGTACATGCATCTGTTGCTGTTCATCCACTCGACACGTGTGAATGCAGCCCCTAGAGCACCTCACGACGTCCTCTTATTCATACTCTGTAAAGCCATGCCCGTTCTGTGTAACGAGGAGCATTACGGCGACTGCAATTTCAGCCGCTACCGCTGTCCCGACGGTGACAATGGTTGTCACGACGATTTGACGCCGTGCTAGGCCGCATTCAACCTGCTCATGCAGGACCTGCTCAATGTCACCCTGGGCACTCTGATATGTGGCATGCCACGACTCTCCCGTCGAGGCTGGAGACCGGCAGCTGCCGTTTCGACGTGCTCATGCAGTGCCCTGTGAATGAGATGATGGACGCCATGGATTGCAGGCCTTCGGCCTGGCCTTTGCCGCTAATATCTTGTATAATTTAGGATGAAGGCCCCAACCACCAAACAAAAACAGCAGCGATGAGAATGCTACCTGCTGCCGCCCTGTCCCTTTCCCTTGGTCCGCGTTGTTGCGGTAAACCCTAGGCCCTAGACACGCACTAAACATATTGGGGAAAAAAGGCGTTGGCCCATCCCCAAAGGCTCCGGCTCTGAGCTCTCCTCCTCTGCCAGGTCCTTGATCCGCCGAGCCTTTCAAAAAGGGAGATAAGAATAAAGGTTACAGCTAACGGCAGTGGGAAGAACCGCAGGATTCAGCATTCTGGTGACCCTCTGGCCAGTCTTGCCATTACTAGTAGTGGTAGATACTAAAGCGGTTAGCGATTGGTTTATATAGCAGTCGTTCCTGCTTGTTGCTGCTGCTACTACTACTACGACGACTACTACTGCCACTACTACTACTCCTGCGGCTGCTGCTGCTGCTGCTCATTGATACTGTACCTGCTATTCGTGTTGTGAATATCGTTACTACTTGAACATCCGCCGAGGCTTCGGACTTGGTATCTGCCCATCCTCTCAACCACCGCTTTTGTGGAACTTAAGCTGTTTTTGTCTATTTTTCTGTCGAACCTCCAAAATCTGAGTGCCAACCCTCCACATGGACCTGAGACATCCAAAAGGGAGGCGAGTCCGCGGCCCCAACCCGCAAATAAAAGGTCACATGTCAAGACCGTGCAGGAGTCTACTAATACAACTACTTGGTGCTGGTGCTGGTGCTGGTGCTGGTGCTGGTGCTGGTGCTGGTGCTGGTGCTGGTGCTGGTGCTGGTGCTGGTGCTGGTGCTGGTGCTGGTGCTGGTGCTGGTGCTGGTGCTGGTGCTGGTGCTGGTGCTGGTGCTGGTGCTGGTGCTGGTGCTGGTGCTGGTGCTGGTGCTGCTGTTGTAGTAGGGGTGAGTAGTAGTAGCAGCAGCAGCAGCAGTAGTAGTAGTGGTGGGTAGTAGTAGTAGTAGTAGTAGTAGTAGTAGTAGTAGTAGTAGTAGTAGTAGTAGTAGTCGTAGTATCGTAGTAGTCGTAGTAGTCGTAGTAGTCGTAGTAGTCGTAGTAGTCGTAGTAGTCGTAGTAGTCGTAGTAGTCGTAGTAGTCGTAGTAGTCGTAGTAGTCGTAGTAGTAGTCGTCGTCGTCTTCGTGGTCGTCGTCATCGTGGTGGTGGTGGTAGTGGTCGTGGTAGTGCTCGTGGTCGCGGTCGTCGTCGTCGAGGTCGATGCTGTTGATGCTCTCTTTGTGCCTAGCAAGGAAGAATTTCTCGCTCAGACATGCTCTGCTTCTGATTGATGTTACTGTTGTTCTTAGATGCTGATCGACGTCAGGGACAATTTTGATACGGCTCCAGCAGGTTCAACACTGCTTGCCGAAGTTCCACTCCATGCAGTCTGAACCACTGGGCACGGGCAGGAGGGGAGTGGACATCGAACACGATAGCAGTGGAGGTGGCCTCCAGCTTCCGCGAGAGCCCCAAGCTGATCAAGCCGGTTTCGAAGTCCTGGCACATGGTGCTGGCTCGAAGCACCACGAAGCCCACCTTTAAAGGCTTTGCAGCCATCTTCACCTCAACAGCCCCCCGACCGCAAGCCGATGGACAAACCTTCTCAATCACAAGCGTGATGACATTTGGAGCCAATTTCCGGCACGCAAATCCTGTTCTTGGGGTGTTGGGGCTGTGGTTTCTGAGAACCAATTTCAGCCCTGGCCCGCTGGCCACATGAAGGTTAGGAAGTGCATCGCAACAACCTGCACATAACGTGTCAACGTTACAAGCTCAAGCAGCAGCTACAGTGCGGCTACTGTGCTGCCACAACTCAATACCCGAAGAGAGCCAATGAGGTCCCCTAAATTACAAAGCTTTGGTCTTCTCTGCTCCCTTCCGATCCTAACCGCAAACTCCGGAGAGCCAAACTCAAAGTGCCCAGGCCCAGGATTGACACTGAAGCCGAGCGTTTAGCTCCCGGACGCTCCAAAATTCCCTTGCCTCGCCTTCGTACCTTGGAGGACCTCCGAGGTGGCTAAGGTACGAGTCTGCCGGTCCTTCTCCTGGACCGAAGCTGCGCGAGGAGCAGGGTCCGGAAAATCTGTATGAGTTCGGGTGGGTGGAGTTTCGGAGTTGAGCGTGTAGGCTGTTGGTGTGTGGCAAGGCATCAGATCAGATTGATCAGGTCACCGTGGGACCCGAGTCTTGAAGAGCTCCACATGTCTCGAGGCCTAGGTTTGGAGTCAGGCGTGCGACGGATTGATTATTGAAGGAGATTAAAGGGTTCTTCAGCCCGGGCGATGCAGTCGACCCTGCTGGGCCCACATCCGCAACCTCCACAGAACCGTCAAAGCCTAGTAAACACTGAAATCGAAACGGAGACCCCCGCACGCCTTCTGCTTCTTGAAAACGACCTCGTTGAACCTGGCCTCTGCACTCTCCCTGGCCATGCGAACCTGCACATGGCTATGTTGTGAAACATTTCTTCGTGTCTGGACATAGAACAAGAATGTTCATGTCTGCTGCATGTCTACGCGATACATGCTCATGCTTTGTACTTGTACTCAGATCAAAGCAGACAGCGACGCCTTCTTTCGCAGTTAGCCTACAGTAAATGTAGCCCGCTGGAGCTTAGAGGAAATCCGGGAAGCCGTGGAGTCAGAGAGATCTCGCATGAAGCCTTGCCACA